TCCTTACTATAATAATATCAAGAAAACTTTGGTCTAGTTTTACAGGGAATAAATGCTATAAGATGAGTAGCCCCCACCCATGGCTGAGTTGGCCCTAAAACCAAAATTTTAAAAATGATCAGATATACTGAGAACAAATAGTTTCTAATTTATGTTACTGAGAAAAAAAGCCTAGTATGAATTCACAGAAATTAAGTCAAAGGGTAAGTTTTTAATGGAAGACATGGGAATTAAAGTAAGCCATAAAATATGAGAAAGATTATTTAGAGGACAGAAAGTGGGAGAGCTTTCAAGAGAGAAAAGAGATTTAAAGTAAAGATGTGATAGTGGGGAAGCCATGGAGATGAAAGAGGTGCAGATAGAGGAGAGATCTAACTGGAACTGGTGAAGATTTCTGGGAAATAATGGGATAGAAAACAGGGAAAATAAAGATAGGGTTAGATTTTAGACCAAGTTGCCCACATTTCTGTTAAAATCTGGAGAAAAGTCCTTCGATCATTTCATGAATCCTATGACATAATTTCCTCTAAATGGCATTATAGCCTGTGACAATAAGTGAGTTGCCTTTCATTTCAAGATTAAAAGTCATCTCTACCACAAGCATCTTTCTTAAATGAAATAAAGAAAAAGGAAAAGCATTTCCTTACTTTAATAAAATTATGATTGTATTTAATTAATGGGAACCCCAAAGTTATTGTCTTAAATTTATTCTCTGTTTCTGAAATCCAAACCAATATAAACCATTTCTCATTCCAGAAATTCCCTTTTTTATATAATGTTGAGCAGGCAAGAAAGTTCCGTTGAGCAAATTGCGGGGAGGGCAGAGCTGACTTTTTAACTAGCCTATTAAAGGCACATATTCTTGAACACAGCTTTTGATTTCTGCTAATTAAAAGTTTTCTCTAGTTTTGTTACAAACATTTGTGTTAAGCTCTCTTTTTTAAAAAACTTCATTTGAATCTATCTAAAAGTCTTCATTAATTGGGGATTTTTCAGGTCTGTGATGTTCTCCCCTTTTTTCTCAGAGGACTCGAGACATGATTTGGTCTGAGGAAGTTCAAGTATAATCACATTAAGCCTTCCCCCATGAAGTGCAAATTCCCAGGATCAAGGCCACTAAAAAAAATGGGGGCAATAGATTGGTGTTGTTATCTTAAAGCACATGCATTTAAGAAATTTGTCTATATGCTTTTAAAAAAAGTCTCAGTAGCATGCAGATCAAGACAGAATATACTCTACACCGGCAGGAAGTCGTTTTAATATTTCTGTGATTAGTTGGTTTCTTTTAGAATAACAACAACAACAACAACAACAAAACACTGAAGAATCTAGAAATGGACCATTAACTTTTTGAGGATTAAACCTATAACACAGGGATGGCCACTGGCTCCTGCCCCTGATACTCTGGGTTCTTTGGGTGCTTCGTTTTTGCTATCTAGCTTGCCACCAATGCCCAACAGCAATGCCTCAGTTCATCCTAAACATTACTTTATAAATGCAAAAAGTGATGACTGAGAGTTTTATTAACCATCCAGTTTCAAACCCATCCAGTTTCAAACCTTCATCTTTTTCTCCATTCTATGCTGAAGGATTTCTGCTTCCCAGATGGTGAAAAGCAGCACTTAGAGACTGTGTCTACATGGATTGCCCTATCTAAACATCTTAGCAGCAATAACAGGTCTTAATTATCAAGTGGGCATTTTATTTTATTTTTTAATTAAATTTATTTATTTATTTTGAATACCCATCCCTCCACCAGTAACCATTTCTCACCACCAAGGATCCCAGTAACCCTCCCACGCCCCATTCCATCCCCATCCCACCCTGCCTCTGTGGCCAGGCATTACCTTTTGTTCTCTCTTTCCTATTCAGTGTTATGGTTTGTAAATGAGTTAAGCCTGATTTTCAGGGAGAAACATTGGAGAATTTACTTTCCATTGACCACTTTATATATAAGAAGATGTTGCGCTGCCACATAAGCGGCCACGCGGTTTGGAGTAAGAGTCCTGGTTCCTGCATAAGCGAGCTATGCTTGTAGAGGCTCAGGGTCACCGGGGTTCCCCCTGGAGGAGGCGGGATGTGGCGTCTACCCCATCTGGGACTTCCCGGTGATCTCGGCTCTCTTCAGGACTGGGAGCATTCTCGGTAGCTGTGGAGCCCCCCCGCCACCGCGGCCTTTCTTCTCTGTGGCTTTGTGCTCTAAAGATCCAAGTGGTCATTTTAAATTGGCATCATTACATAAAATTTAAGAAAACACAAAGTTTTCATGAGACCAACTATGCCTTGGTACAGCTGACTGTATCTAGAAATTTTTTGAAAAGCAGTTTCTGTGAGCAAACATGGAAGGTGAAGGAGTTATATGTGATCATAAGAGCAGTTATATGATCTTAATGGTGCTCATTATCTATTTATTTTTACCATTAATCTTCCCCCACCCCCTGTGAATGCATCACAGCTGGTTGTATGTAAATTATCCTAATTTGCAACTTTTTGAGGTTAAAGGCTGTGTGAGTTTAGATTGGTGAAACTCAACTGCTGCTTAAATACAAATATAAATGCTCTTGAATTTTAGAAACCAATGTAAGCACCTTGATTTTAAAAAATTTATTTGTAGAACCTTAAATAATGACATTGAGCTTTACATTGACCTTACACGGTGAAGTGGAAAAGGTTTTGTATGAATTGCACAAAATTAATCTTCTGACTTGAAACAGAAATGATATAATATTTCACATCAGTCCAATCATGGCTCGGAAGTACAGGGTGTTGCTGGTATCCTGGGGTTAAGGGAGAACGTGCACCTTAGTAAAGAGGACTTCCGGTGTTCAAAGGCTGAGATGGTGTGCATGTGGGTGAGGGTAAAACACTTGATTGGCTACTGTTCAAGTAAAATATTCTGTAAGGAAAGAGTTGACAATGTTGTGTATTGTTAGCTCAGATAAGGATGTTAGCTAGAGTCACAGGACACCACTCTGGTTCAATTTCTTTGTGAAGATTTCATTACTGATTTTTTTTATTCCAGTGATCACAGACTACAATCATAATCATAAATTCCTCCTAAATTTTCTCAGTTCAAAGTGAGATTCCAATTGGGTTTAATGCACACATTTCTTGAACTCTGCATTTCACAAACACCTCCTGGAAGTGTTTATGAGGAATGGCTCATCATTTATGTCGATGAGCTTGTTTTGGCATTTATTTTGCAATGCCATCTCATTTATCAACTTGTTTCAAAAACCAGAGCACCTACAACATGTCAAGGACTCTAAAGTTGATGGAAGAGGAAAAGTTGGTAATGTTCTGCTGGAATACGTTTTCCAATAATGGAAAAGAATTGGTCTAGAAGTAATACATTAAGACAAACATAAAATGCCAGGGACTGTAAGATTCATGGCCCAGAGTAAGCCAATTAGATATTTTATTACACAAACTAAAAAGTATGTTGTTATAATAAATTAAATCAGTTAACATTTTATATGCTTAAATATCATCTTCCTAGATTCTCTCTCTGGTACTTATGATAACCCTTTTCCTGTTAGACTCCATCAGTGTGGCATAGCAATGAGAGAGCTAGCTGAACTGCATTTTAGGGACTATATCACCATCCTCATCAACTTGAATTCACTGAATTTAAATAATAAAAATAAAATTTGTAGCTGGTATGTGTAGTGAAATATATTGTGTATGTGTTCACAACTACTTGAAATCACGTCATTTGGTTTTGATGATATGTCAAGTGGAAGATAAAAACAACTTTGCTGTTTTCCCATGCTCACTCATAGAGACCTCAGATCCTTTGGCAATGGGTGAAGTGTGAAAAATCTCCTAAGTGTTCCCCAGATCTAAAAGGATTACCTTTAGTCAGTTTGAGACTGGTTTGAGGAGTCAAGTACATGTCCTATGGCATATAAAAGGATTAGCTACTTTCACTTGGAAATTAGCTTATAGAGGTACGATTTTTAATTATGCATAAATTTCAAACTTTCCATCAAAGTCAAATTGTGCTGATGTTAGTCAAACCTAATCTAGGCATTGATTCAAGAACCTGCTGATCGAGTAAAAATACACGGAAACTTGTTAACAAGAAGTACAATTATCTCCATCTCAGCAAATAATGCCAGAGTGTCATGTAATATGCTGAGCTCAGGCAACCCACAGCCAATAATGAGCGCCTCCTTTTTCTTCACCATTAATATTTACAGTTGGAAGCAATACATGGCTGCAATATAAGTGCTGCACCTAAAAAGGGAGTTGTTGGCTTGATACCTTGTTTTCTGACACTGTGAAGCACTGAGACAGCTACCTTCTTAATCATCGCCTGATAGCATTGTGCTAAAGCTGGAGGGTAGCACATGGCTTTTTACATACCAGCAACAACCCTGAAAGATTTGCTGCATTGTTTAGTTGTTTCATTTCTTTATATCCATGCTGTGGTGTGAAAAGCATGGGACTAAAAGTTGTGAATGATGGGTCCTTCACTTTGTTCTCCTGCTGAATTTCTCATGGTCTCTGTAGACACTGTTGATAGAGAGTGACTACCTCCCAGATCCCTACTGTGTGCTGGGCAGCTTCCTAGCAATCACACTCCTCCACTCACCATCCTGCTTTATGGAAGCACATTCTCACAGTCAAGGTTCTTTAAAAAGTTAAATAAACATCGGTAAACAGTAAAGCATGGCTGGTTATATAATATGCACATGGTTAGAGACCTTAATAGAAAATCACCATGATTATTCTTCTTTCAGTGTGTAAATATGTCATCCAAGGGTAGCACAGTAGAACCTCAGGGTAAATTTGGGGTTACATTCATATATTCATATAGTGCTCTACCTAGGAAGCATCCATGCATAATTGAGCAAGCTTTGACAAATGGCATTCGGGTCTCCTGCTTACTAGCTGTGTAACTTTCAACAAATTGCTTAAATCAATTGTTTAAATAAGGGCATCCGTCTCTATATCATTAGGCTGTTTCTAAGCTTAAAATGAAATGGCACTTACAGGTCCAGGAACACATTCAAACATTCAGTTTGAACTGCTTTTCCGTTTGCCTCCAGACCACCTTCAAGTTCCCAAGCATTTTACAGTGAATCTCACTGTAAAAAAAATTAAACTGAAGAGCGAAAAAAGATTAATTGCCTCGAAAATGCACAAGTAATCAAAGGTCTAGTTGTCATCCCTAGAGTAGGAAAATATATATAGTCTAGATTCCTGAAATTATGGAGAGGGCACTAAAAATAGTAGCAAATAAATTCTAATAAGAGAACAAAGAAACCATAAGACAGAAGAGCAACTTCTTGCAGCCACTTCATAAAATTGCCTCATAACATGGAGTTGATTCCTCCTCTGTTCTACCGCACAAAGAGGAGAGTTTGGACTGAACTGGTTATGTTATGACTCCTTTTCTCTTCTCGAAGTTGTAGCTGCTCCCCGTGTTAAATCGCAGCAGATGGCTTCCTTTTACACCCAACGCTGTCAGTGGAATGTAAATGCGTCTCCCCATAACACTGAAAATCCTGAGTCTGTGTGTTTAATCTGTGCTGCGCGAGCAGAATGACCCTGAAAAGAACATGAACACTGAGCACGTTTGGAGAATTGGCATCAATCCTTGTAAACAGAATCGTAGAGGAATTTTCAAGCCTAGTGACTAATCACGGTCATCTTCCCCAGACTCTTCAGGCAGCCGTATCCCTAAGGACAAGTCATCAGTATGGTGGTAGGTTTGAAAAGCTATAGACCCAAGAGAGAGATTTTTCAAAATGAGTGTGGGGACAGGGGGAGGCATGTTATTCTGGACTATGGGAAAAAGAAGGAATTGGACACCCCACAACACAAAAGAGACTTTAGTTGATCACTTGAATTCTCAGTTCTAAGCCTCTTTGGAAGTTGAGAATGCAAAATTTGTCTAGGTTTCAAATGACTGAAATTAGGAAGAGAAGCATTCTTTTGGAATTACTTGAAAATTCAGGAAAAATGTAATTCATTCAAAGTCAATATGGTGTGGGATATGAGAAAATGCAGTTATCAATTGTTAATAGAAAATTTCAGGACTAAAATATAACAAACACTTGAGCTAACTTATCTCAGCTCTTAATAGGTGTCTGAATGGGGAAGGAAAAAAATTCTGATCTTAATTTTATCAAAACAGATACTAAAAATTAGCCACCAAAGAAATTTTATGTGTGATTTAAGTAGCTTCCATAAGAACAAATGAAAGTTACTTCTTAGTTCTGTATTTTCTTGAGCAATACTCTCCTGTTATTAGAGAAGATGATCGGCAATTGTGAAAATCATTCATATGTAGACAGAAATCCCAAAGTTTAAAATAGCAGACTCATCCATATTGTCTGATATAACTCTATAACATACTTTCTAATATGTTAAATACTCTGCTCAATACATATACATAGGGCACTTTGAGTTCAACAATTTTATTTATTTATTTATTTTTAGATGTACCAAAGTTTCTTTTCTTTTTTTTTTTTAATTTTTATTAGTGAAACACTGTGAGGCACAGTTGTAGACATACAAATTTTTGTTCTTGGGTTTCAATTATACAATGTTCAAGTAACCATCCCTCCACCAGTGCCCATTCTCCCCCGCAATGCTCTCAGTATCCCTACTCCCCAATCCCCCCATCCCACCCCACCCCTGTGGCAGGGCATTTCCTTTTGTTTTCTCTCTCTCCTTTTGGGTGCTGTGGTTTGCAAAAGAAGCATTGAGTAGCAATCATGTTTGGTCTATAGTCTACTTTCAGCATGCATCTCTCATCCTGGGAGAATCCTCCCAACACCCTTTTTTGGAGCTCCCTTCCCAATCTGAGCTGCCCTTTCCCCTAGCATGTGCGGTCAACAATATTTTTAAACTAATAGGAAAATGCTGTTAGATTTTATTTTTATTCTCCCCTCCCTAAGGAATGCTTGGCATTTCTCAATATTAATGTAAAAATACTTCCACCCACTTGTGTAATGGGGCAATTCAAAGACTTTTGGGGGGCTAACGAGGTAGTACAGTGGGTAGGACTCTTACCTTATATGTGGCCTATCTGGCTTCTGTCTTACTGCCCTGTATGGTTTTGGATCCCTGCCAGAAGTGATCCTCTCAGTGCAAAGCCAGGAGTAAGCCTTGACCATTTCCTGGTGCTCAAAATGAAATAAAAACATTAAAAATTAAAATAAAGGATGCACTTTTGGCAAAGCCAAACATATGTTTTTTGTGATTTAAAAAAATAATCTTGCCAACTTTAAAACTGATAAACTTTTACCAATTGGCTTATTTGTAATTCAGAAAGCTTGAATTTTGAAAGAATCCTTTCATCCCCAAACTGAGTATTGTAGCACTGTAGCACTGTCATTCCGTTGTTCATTGATTTGCTCCAGCAGTCACCAGTAACATCTCACAGCAAATTGCAAAACTTATTGTTACTGTTTTTGGCATATCGAATACATCACGGGTAGCTTGCCAGACTTTGCTGCGTAGGCTAGATACTCTCGGTAGCTTGCCAGGCTCTCTGAGAGGGGTAGAGGAATCGTACCTGGGTGGGCCATGTGCAAGGCAAACACCCTACCCACTGTGGCTGTGGCTCCAAACCAAAATGAGTATTAGTTCAGTAAATTATTGCAAGGGGAAAGTTTCTCTCAACTTGTTGTCACTTTATCTGTGTGTCTATGCTCATAGGTGAGCTACACGAGCTGAGAGGTTGTAGTGATGTTTATATGAGTTATGCGCATCCTTGATTTCTCAGCTTCCTGTTCCTTACATCTAGGCCAAGTCTCAAACTTGAGCAAGAAAGAGAGGGCTGTACTGTAGGAGGCTGTCTACAGGGCATGCCATGTTGTCCACTAGGTAAACTCTGTCTTTCATTATCCACTAGGTAAACTCTGAAACTGAAAGTCTGATGACTAGATATAAACTGACATTGATGATAGAAACAGCTACTTCTGAAATTATTTAAGAAGAAAGGCACAGGTTTATAGATCCAACAATAAGCCACTTGGAAAGGGGATTTTTATTTCAATATTTGCTTTTAAAAATAAGAACAGAGTAACTGACATAACAGATTCTATAAACAAGAACTTCAATGAAAAGCTGTCAAAGTTAAAATAAAACATTTTGCATGGGTGACTTGGAGCCACACTTTAGCACTTGCACAAGGGGAAGCCAATTTGAGTCTGGTCAATAAAATACAACCTCCAAAATTGGGCCAGGGGCATAGCTGACAGAGTGTGGCAGAACCTGGTGAGTTGGCATTCACTTCTGCTGGGACCCAGCGGAGTTGGTACTGCTGCCATCTGGGGTATGTCGGACGTTTAAGCGCTATTTGATTAGTAAACACTCACGCAGGTATGTTAGAGGGGACAAATGCAGTAGGCCCTTCATGCTCTGATAATTGAATGCAGGTCTGAGGTAGAAGTGGAACCAGCTCTTCAAAAGCTGAATTTGCTGCTGATTCACAACTGTTGAAAATTAAACTACATGTGCTGCAAGTTAGGGATTACTAAGGTATCTCATTATAGGAGGCTATTCCCTCTTCCCACCCCACAAATGCTAGAGTTTCCTGAATTACTGAGGAACTTATTTGAGTATAAATTTGAACCAAAAAATTTTCTGATAAGTTGGTCATAAATCCTCAGTAATATAAACTTGGTGTTCTTAGAATATCTTTTGGCTTTTTGATCATGTTTACGGCTTTCCTTTAGCTGGTCAAATTATCCTTATAGGCTCCTAAAGCTCTTCTGACATGGATTAAGTCAATGAAAACCAATAGACCTTCATTATGTTGGCAACTGGTTTTGATTTGGGGGTAATAAATACAATGACAAAGACTAGATTACCTTTGCCAAGGGAACAAGTGATAAACATACAGATGTTGGATCCAGCATTCTTTTTGGGTAGACATATGTGAGAATGGATTAGTAGCTGTTTTTAACCAAATGAAGAAACATAAAAGGAAGGAATAAATCCGAATGAGTAGATAGTTAAGATATGATTCTTAGGTCAGAAATAATGCAGTCAACAGACCATGAGAAAGTCCATAAATACCCACTTTGTACCTGGATGTATACTAGGCTCTGGTAGATAGGTGTTAGGTCATATATAAGAGAAAAATAATTTTTATTTGATCTATGAATATCTTAAGGTGTAGCAGGAGAAATTAGCCCATCAATGGGAAAAAGATTTACTGAGAAATAAAAGAATATACAGACAGGAATTTGCAAGATCAGGAATAGTTATACAAGGTTAGTGGAAGAAGAAAGATCTGAAAATTTGAAGGAATATTTTTTAATTTAAAAACAGTTAAAAGTAATACTTTTCTAGGATTCTGGATATATATAAAAATAATTACACAATCACAATCACAAATCATCCTGTTATTCATCGATTGCCTCGAGCAGGCCCCAGTAACGTCTCCTTCATCCTAGCCCTGAGATTATATCCAAGGCTCTTTAGGAGAATGAGACCCATCATTGTTACTGGTATTTGGCATACTGGGTATGCCACGGGGAGTTTGCCAGACTCTGCCGTGTGGGCAGGCTACATTCGGTAGCCTGCCAGTTTGTCCAAAATAGGAATGAGATAATAAGATGTCATAATAAGATGGTTCCGGGATCTGGTTTTTATAGTCTCTGAGTCTTGGCCGCTGACGGGATTACACGGCGCCAGGGGGCCAGTTGGTGAGTGTGACCCCCGCCTACTGGAGTTTGGAGGATCTGGGTGGAGGATGCTTGGCCCAAATCCGAGTAGGCTTGGAGATCTCGGCTCCAGAACCCGCGTGACTTTGTCCCTCTGCCAGTACCTTCATGTGTGCAGAGAGTGGTCTCAGCATGGTGGTGGCTGGTCCTGGAGGTCTTTGGCTGCCGGAGCCCTGGTCGGGGCGGGGAGGAAAGCTCAATCCGATCCCCTCCAAGGGGCTCTGGTGAGGGCAGTCAAACGCAGAGACAGGAGACTGCACTGGTCTCTTCCGGGAGCTGGTTTTTATAGTCTCTGGGTCTTGGCCGTTGATGGGATTACACGGCGCCAGGGGGCCAGTTGGTGGGTGTGACCCCCGCCTTCTGGAGTTTGGAGGATCTGGGTGGAGGATGCTCGGCCCAAATCCGAGTAGGCTTGGAGATCTCGGCCCCAGAACCCACGTGACTTTGTCCCTCTGTCAGTACCTTC